AAGCATTGCGGGAAGCCACCGGAGGGAGGGGAGGAATTGGGAACGGGGTAGACAATTGATAGAACGAAATGATTTAATTTTATATGTTGTATTCCTGAGAAAATAAAATTTGTTTACCAAAAAAAAAAAAAGAATTTTAGTAGCTCATTAATCGTTTCATCTTTGCTTTCCCTCCTTGCTGACAGGCTTGCTGTAACTCTCAACCAAAAAAGACAAAAGTTGGGGGGGGGGGGGAAGGAAAAGAATAGAGCCTCCATGGTCAGAGGCACGTTGACTCCTTGGTGGAGGCAAGCAGGGGGTGGCCTGGCCCAGCTTTCCTGATGATGGAAACAGGGCACCAGAGAGAAGAGAGTCTTCCTCCTTTACGCAAAGATGGACCTGGCTTTCTGTCCTCCCTCGGCCCTGAGGAGCCCAGCCCAACTGAATCGGTCTGGTACCCAAGTGTTTCCAGCCTCTGGCTCAAGTCAACGAGGACAAATCCGGCAGGACAGACTTTGCTCCAAGGTCCCAGTGGCTTAAGCCGTCATTCACAAGGACAGAGAGAGCCACAGAAGCTGGACTTCCAATCCAGAGACTCCAGAAGGTCGGACCAGAACCAACGGGTTGAAATGGAATCAGAAGAGTTTTCGGCTAAATGTTAGGAAGAACTTCCTGACCGTGAGAGCGGTTACAGGCTTCCTCGGGAGGTGCCGGGCCCTCTTTCCTTGGAGGCTTTCAAGCAGAGGCTAGGTGGCCCCATCTGACAGCAATGCTGGTTCTGTGAACGTGGGCAGATCGCGAGAAGGGAGGGCAGGAAGGGTTGCCTCAGGGCTTCGTTCTCGTGGCCCCTTTCTTACACGCCCAGGGAAATGCTGGCGGTCCCTTCCAACTCTTATGATTCTATGATTCCAGCTGATGCCCTGCCATTTGTGGAATGACTCCCAGTACAGCAACGGTGCCGTTTTCAAATCCTGCAGGCGCTCACACTTGCAAAGCCCTGTCCGTGTGCAAAGCCAGAGCGACGAGGGCCAGATGGCCACAACCAAGGCTGCAGCTGCCACCCCCACGCAACTCTCCATTCCAGCCCGGCTCACGCAACCTTCGGTCGGCTGGGGTCCGGCCTCAACAAAACCTCTCTTTTAAAACCAGCGACCGGGGCACAGAGGCCCCAGCTCCCCAAGAACCTCGCCAGGGAACAGACTGAGGGCACCATCCCCGGTCAGCATAGCTGAAGATGGACGTAAACGAGGACGAGAGGGGCTATGGTGGGCGGACTGCAGCCAGCGGCCAAGGGGAGGTATGACCCTGGTCCCCGGAGAGGCCTCCATGGGAAGGAGGCCTTCTGCAGCCGTGGAAGACGGGAGAGGGACCCGCAGCTGTTCCCTGCCCCCTCCCCTCTGCCCTTGGGCTGCTCAGCCCGGTCTGGCCGGTTCCTCCATTGACCCCCCACAGAGGCCTTCCTGAGAGAGGCTGCTGTACCTGGAGAGACAGGCCATCGGCCCGCTTGGCCCAATGCTACGACACTCAGATGGGCAGCAGCCCCCAAAGAGGCCGGCCCTGGGAATGCCCCGGGCTGTGTTCCAAGAGGAGGTCTCCAGAACCGTCTGCATCCAGTGCTCTTCGCGATGGTCAGTGCAAGCACGGATGGATCCCGCAGTCCCTCACCACCCCCCATCTTGCATCTCAGTCACCACACAAGCCTCCTTCTGGCCGATACGTACCTGGCTCCCCTTCTCCCCAGGAGGACCTTCCTTGCCAGGGTGGCCCTGTGGACAAGGACAAAAGGTGAGTCTCCTCGCAGCTGGCGGCAGGTGCCTCCTCCCTCCCTCCCTCTTGGTGCCCTTCCCAGTGGCATGCTGGTCTGCTGTCAGATGCCCTGGACTAGTTCAAGGCTTCTCGACAAGGTGATGAGTGGGTGGGCCAGGCTGCAAGAGCGCCGGCAGCGGCTGCGTGGGCCCAAGGCAACACCAACAGGCCTGCCACGTATAATTTATGGTGCACTTTTTAAGATCAAGTAGGAGAAGGTATTCTGGTCAAGTATACCACAAGATCCTACTAGGAGGGCGCACAGAGACACATGCTCCAGAATGCTCTTCGGGCCTTCCAGAGCACCTTCCAGAGGCAGCTTTGTAAATGCACGTAACCACGGAGTATCAATGGATGAGCACTTCTATCATGGATGCGGCTGTCTCAGGAACACACACCACCCCTCTGCTATGCCTAGAAAGCGGGAGATGGGAACCAGACCCCCTGCACGCCTGGCAATCAAGTCCCAAGCAGAGAATGCCAGGCGTGCGTCTGATCGCCGGTCCTCATGGCAGCGAGTGACACATCTGCCCCGTGGACTTCGTAACCCATGAGTCAGCCCTCAGGAGCCTCTCCCCCTGCTAAGACACGCAGGCCTCGAAGATGATTTCTAGCAGAACTTACCGGAGGACCGTCTGCTCCAGGCATGCCAGGAAGGCCAGGTTTTCCTAGTGGACCCTAAGGGGGAAAAGCCAGACCCCCTGTTACATGGGCAGGGAAGGTCCACTGTAGAAGCAACGCAACCAGAGCCATCTTGCCCATGATTCTGTGACACCAAGGTCCCTGATCAGAGGCACTTCTTCAGTCTTCGGTATATGTCAGGTTGGACCCGGTGCGAGCGTCGGGGTGTTTGCAGAAATCAAATGTGCCAAGGCTGATGCACTGGACCCTCCCCCCTATTTACCCTACTGGGGAATCTTAATGTGTCCTGATGGGCGGCAGGCGGACTGCAGGTAAGTCCTCCCCACAGGGAAGGCTTAGGCCTCCTCTCCATGCGCACCACACCCCCAATCCGAATCAGCCCCCCCCCCCCCCCCACGTTCCATGCTCTGAACTCCTAGACTTTGTCTGTTGACCAGACGCGGGAAATGTATTTTGCACAGCTGGGTCTGAAAAGAAGGGTGGGGTCAGAGGAGGCAGTGGCCGCTGCTCCTCCTCCCAGTGAAAAGGAGGGCATTCCAGGAGATACAAAAGGCCTCCCTGTGCTGCTTCAACCCACCGTGGCTCATTCAGACATGCTGAAGTCACAAGTGATGAAAACTGCACATGGGAACCAGCCCCAAGGGGTCTCTTAATGCTTCCTTGAATATTTACCCCGCTGAAACAGTGGGCTAGCCTCCCCTCATCCTTTTGCCTGACATTACTGTCAAAGGGTTGTAAAACCAGTTTTGCCCTCTGTGAAGAAACACATATTTTCTTTGGAGGTCTGAGCTGACCAAAATTTGGTTCTAAAAGTTTTTTCTCTCTGGGCAGAGAACAGGCAGAAGCGGGGGTGGGGGGGTGGGGAGTCAGTTCAGTTGATTTCCAGCCCTGCCCTAGCCACCTTTTAAGAAATGCTAATAGGTCTAGTTAGAGACAATGGGATGGTCCAGTACCTCCCCTCCAAGCCAGGGACAGAGGTTTGGAGGAATTAAGAACCAGAAAGACTTCAGGAAGAAACTCCTGGAGACTTCAGGAAAAGATTATTTGACCTGGCCCAACCTGGTCAGTGGGAGGAGAAAGAGGAATGATAAAACTCCTGGGAGCAAGGAGGAGGAGGCTCTCTTTTATTGGGCTGACTCCATCAAGGCAGACAGAACTCTTAACTGAGGCCCATGGGAGGCAGCCATTGCCATGTGCTGGCCTGCACACCTGAAAGAGGTGATGGAAACCCTGTAGAACACCTGTAATTTCTAAGCTAAGGCCCCTGCCTTATATTTAACACCTTATTAGGACATGTATAGAGGAACTGCATTTTACTCTTTTCTTTTGAATCTCTTGCTCAGACTGGTGCTGTGCTAAGAATATGCTTGTAAACATTTTCTTTTTAATAAATACTTTATAACTTAGGATGCTGGTAGTGGTTCTCTGTACCACATAGGCCTCCACCGTCTTGGACACACTATTTTAAAAGGAGTGCCAGGAGGATGGGGAGGGCATTCAGTTGGCAAGTGGCTACTCCTCCACTGATGCACAAGGCAACAGACTGTCCCCATGATAACTAGATGCTGGGCAGCAGGAGACTCCGAGGCAAGGCTTCAGAACTTGGAAGGGAAGCTGGGAGTCCTGACCCTCCCAGTGGGCAATTCCTACAAAGGACAGGTGGCGGTGGTGGCTGATCAGAGAGAAACAGAGAGAAAAGCTCCTCCAGGTATTGGGAAAACCTTGGAGGGTAGGGTGGAACAGGGCCTGCAGGATGGAGCACGACCGTTCTGCCACACCCTTCTAAGTCACAAAACAGGTACTGGAAATCTGAAGGACACACATCTTGTTTTTGCTCATCTGTATCAAGCCTGGAAGGGGACATCTTTACGCTTTCCCAGCCACAGAAAGAAACAGATGTTGCAAAGGAGAGCAGAAGCTACCTAAGGACACCAATGGCATTCTGAACAGTGCAAGCTGGCATCTGTCAGGGCAGCTTTGAATTAACTTACTTTTTCCCCTGGTGGACCAATCGAGCCTTGAGGACCAGGAAGACCCTGAAAGAAGAGGCAGATATGGGTGGGGAAACAAAGAGGAGCATTAAGGCACATGGCACAATGACGGAATTCTTCCAGAGGTATTTGGGCAGCATGTTACAAAGGTGTGGCCGAAAAGGATTCCCAACTATGGGGGGCAATTCCTCAGCAGAGGTGCCCCTGAGTTTTCAACGAAAGAGAAACAAATTTGGAATGCTTCCTTGAATCTCTAACCTCTCCGAAGAATCACTAGATTTTGCCTACAGTGAAAATGCTATTCAAGGTTTGAGGGAAGGCAAGTCTTCCAGTAAGCTTAGTGAAATTTCTTGGGGAGAAATCACTGGAATGTCCCTTAAGGGGAGAAATCTAAGCAGATCTGGGGGGACCTCCTCAGGCAATCCAGGACAAAACTTTTAGCGATTCTATACCACTTTTCCCACCTTACAGCACCCAATAAATAAATCTTTGTCTGACTATTGACACATTTACTTACTTTTACAATACAGTGACTGAAACAATGAAACACACGAAACATTTGCTAAATTCTTTTTTCTGTACTTGTGTCATTACAACCATTTGGTTACACTGGCAGCAAACAAGAATTCTAACTAAGAGGTCCCCCATATAGTGTAAAGAGACAGCAGACGGCAGTGTGGTGCAGTGGCTAGGTCTGGGAGGCCTCAGTTCAACCGCACCCCCCATGTTGCCATCAGGCTCACCAGGCAACCTTGGGGGCAGCCACTCTCTTCCTCCGTCTCACCCTCACCCTGCAAGGTGACTGTGAGGACAGGAGGGGAGGGGAGGACCACATACTCTGCCCCCCAATTCCTTAGGGGAAGGGAGAGGATAAAAATAAGAGGGATCCAACATGGAATCCAAGCCTACAACAGAATGACAAGGGGACCCTACCCCCCCCCACCACTGAATGCTCCACCTTCCTTTGGCTCGGTCACCCCCATCTCACCTGAGCACCTGGATTTCCCTGCTGCCCTGGAGGTCCGGGCTCACCTTGTGGACCCTTGGAAGGGACACAGAAACAGAGACATACGTCATTAATTTCAAATCACACAAGAGTGACCACAACAGACAGCGCTTTGTCCAGGAGCATTACAATTCATTTATTTAGAAAAACACACAAATGCCCTTCAGCAGAACAGGAGAATCAGTGACTGAAACCACTGGATCCCATTCAACACCATGAAAGGATCGCAGGAGAACACTCTGAGCAGAATTCCGCAGAGCTGATACTGGGACGAGGGATGGGCACAAACCGGCTGACGAATCGCAGTTCGTCCTGAATTTTGGCCTGTTCAGGTTTCGTGAACTGAAGAACCAGGACAAACGGCCATGGACTTTGTGGTGGTTCGTGATGGTTCATGAAGATGCTTTTCAGCAGAAACAGCTGAGTGGCTGGGAGCTCCCCCGTGCTCAGCTGTTCGGTTCAAATGGCTCAGAGCCATTTAAACCCCGCTTTTAGCTCCCTGAGTCTTTTAGCTTCCTGCAAAAAGCTGTGGAAAGCAAAAAAAGGGGGAGGCTTAAATGGAAGGAGTGAAGTGCCTTTGCAGGGGCAATTCACCCTCACTTTTCTGCTGGCTGTGGCTAGCTGGGGCCAGGAGAAAGGGAGCAGGGAGGCCTCTTCCCTGGCAATCTCCCCCCCCGCCCTCCCGCCCTCTCCTGGCTGTACAGCCAAGCGGAAGGGAGAAAGGAAGCCTATGGTGAGCCAAGGCCAGGAGAAAAGGGGAAGTCCCATCCTGGGCAAGCCACAGCTGGAGAAAGGGGGGAAGGGAATCCCCTTCCCAGGCAACCCCCCCCTTCTCTTGGCTGCGGCAAGCCATGAAGGACCATGGCCGAGAGAAAGGGGAAACCAAATTTGACAGACCAGTTCTGTCTGTGTGAGCAGGCCAGCTCCAGGCTTTTTTGTGCCCTAGGCGGGGCCCCTGCCTGCACGTCCACCAATTACGGGGGTTGCCAACCTCCTGGCGGGGCCTGGAGAGAAGAATCCCAATGGGTCTCTGCCCCCCGCCACATATTTCGTGAGTCCTGAAGGCGCTCCCTTTGCTCTTTCCCGCTGCTCCAGACAGACGGACAGGGCGACCCATCTGCGGGGAGGGGTCAAAATGGGGACTAGCCGACAGGGTTGAACAAAGCGCCGCCGCACCGCTTCCCCCCACCGCATTGTGAACTCGGGAGGCGGGATGCAGGCAGGGGGAGTGGCAGCAGCACCAGCACCTCTACCTCCACGAGAGACGGGAGGGACCCCCGCCGATGGAAGGTTCCCTTCACGTGGCGGTGACTGCCCCGGAGCCAGCTCGGCGGAGGGCGGGTCCCATCTGGTGGGCTGGAGGGGTCAGGGGCTCGCCAGTCCCACCCCTCCTTCCCTCCCGTCCCGCTTGCCTTGGCCCTCCCCGAGGTGCCCCTCCATGTCTGAGAAGTGGCAGCCCAGCAGGCAGGAGGCGCCCGGGGAAGGTAGGCTCGAGGGAGCCCCTGAAGCGGGCGGGTGAGGGGCAGGCGGGCGGGCACGTAGCCAGGGCTGGCGGGTGGCAGCCGCAGCAGCAGCCTCTGCGCCTGTGTGGACCGTCGCTGGTCTCGGTGCTTAAAACGTTCCCAACAGAACAGGCTTCTGAGAGAGGGAAAGCCAACATCTCAACATGTTCGCTCTGTTTCTGGAGCTAAAGGCGGGGACCAGGAGACGCCGGCAGGAAAGGGAAGGGTCACAGCCGCGATCCTTGGCGCGCAGACTGGAGAGCCAGCAGGGCTTACTCCCGAGTAAACGTGCCTCCCTGGGCGCCCTTGCACGGCAGAAGGCTTCCCTTCCAAAGGGCCACTAAGAGCAGTGGGGCTTACTTACTCCTGAGTAGGCACGCTCTTCAATGGGCCCTGCCTCTCCCGGGAGCTCTGGGGAAATTGCGCAGTCCCCAGTTCTGTGGGCGCGAATGCGGTGGTCTCTCTCTCTGGCTCGCTCCCTCCCTCCCTCCCTCCCAGCTTGTTGTTCTGGGTGCAATTTTCCATTTATTTCCTCGGGAGCCGGAGCGGATCGCGGGGAGGGGCCGGGCTCCTTGTGAGCAATGTTATTTTTCATCAATCAGCCGCAATTTGGCTAAGTGGCCCGGACAGGATACCAGCAGTCCCGCTGGCTGAGGTCAGAGCGCGGAGGCTGCTCGGGAGAAGAGCAAATTGCAGCGGCCGGGCAGGCGGGGGGCTTGCGGGGGGGCGGGTCCCCCCCCCCGTGACAAAGGGAAGGGTCACAGCCGCGATCCTTGGCGCGCAGACTGGAGAGCCAGCAGGGCTTACTCCCGAGTAAACGTGCCTCCCTGGGCGCCCTTGCACGGCAGAAGGCTTCCCTTCCAAAGGGCCACTAAGAGCAGTGGGGCTTACTTACTCCTGAGTAGGCACGCTCTTCAATGGGCCCTGCCTCTCCCGGGAGCTCTGGGGAAATTGCGCAGTCCCCAGTTCTGTGGGCGCGAATGCGGTGGTCTCTCTCTCTGGCTCGCTCCCTCCCTCCCTCCCTCCCAGCTTGTTGTTCTGGGTGCAATTTTCCATTTATTTCCTCGGGAGCCGGAGCGGATCGCGGGGAGGGGCCGGGCTCCTTGTGAGCAATGTTATTTTTCATCAATCAGCCGCAATTTGGATAAGTGGCCCGGACAGGATATCAGCAGTCCCGGCGGGTGGCAGCCACAGCAGCAGCCTCTGCGCCTGCGCGGACCAGCTGCCGGCCGGGGGACAGGGAGCAGGCGCGTCGGGCTGGGCCGAGCCCCCATTGGAAGACAGGCCACCTGAGCCCACCCCAGTCCCGGTGAGTGGCCGCTGCCGGTCAGAGGGGAGCCCCTCTGATGGACACGTGGGGAGCCTCAGGCAGCGCTTCTGGAGGGGAAGGCACAGTTTTGGGGGGCGGCACCAAACTGCACCCGGGCCCGCCTCCGCCAAAAGCCTTGCATCTCCATGACTGCCGCCGCCACCTCTTTCTCCCTGAGTCCGGCAAGCTCAGCACTTTCCAGACTCGGGAAGAACGAGGCGGTGGTGGCCAGGGAGATGCAGGGCTTTTGGCAGGGGCCGGGTCCAGTTTGCCCCCAAGGGCCGGCTCATGCTTTCGGCGAATGCCTAGTCCGCCTAGCGGGTGAGCCGGCCCTGTGTGTGAGGCCAGTTCGGGGTTCGGTCTGTGGGCTGTCGTTGAGCCCAAACCACCTTTTTTTGGTTTGTTCCCATCCCTAACTGGGATGCTGTATACCAAAGGGGCTGAATGATCATTATTGCTACTATTATTGATGAATAGTATCATTTAGACAGCTCCAAATTCTAAAATGGCTCCCGAATGCTTCAAGAAATATTAGAAACGCTTATGTCTGTTTGAAGATGTCAGCACAATGTGCAGTCCATATCTCTTGAGACCACCATTTTTTGCAACAGCCATTCCTGGCTTAATGTTGCCAGCAAAAGGTTAAGGTCTGGATAACCTTAGAGCTGCTTTGCTGAGTAAGCGGCTGCTGGGGCACGCCAGTGTGCCACGGATGTCTTCCACGGTAAAGCGAGACAGGAAGACGTGTGCCTCCCTCGAAATGCTGGGGCAGTGGGGGCCTGCAATGTCGGAAGGTGATCTTGCATGATAAAGAGTTCCATGGGCTATATTTGCATCCACCATCTGGATAACTCTCCTATGCAAGGCCCATTTGGGAACGGTAAACAAAGTGCAAACGCGACTGGCTGATGATGTGGCTCTCCTTGCAAAAGTGGAATTGGCTGCACATTACAAAACAAATGCATACTGGAAAGGATCAGTTCCCAGTCCTTGGGAAACTGAGTGGTCACTATGAAAGCCCTTTTGGCAATCATTCATCCTTCGGCCTGCGTGCCTTCTCTACCCCTCCTCCTCCCATCCTGGGGCTGTGTGGTCCCCGGACTGACACACAACCTGCCCGTCTCCTGGCTGGGACTCACAACAGACAAGGGGGGGGGGCCGGGGACAGCAAGTGGAACTTCTTTTTAAATACTCCCCCACATTTTTCCTCTCTTCTCCATTCATTTGCTCCCCCAGGAGTGCACAAAACTGAGTCACACTTTTGTATATCAAGCGTCGCTTCCAATTCTTCCCCTACAAATGCACAATCTCACCCCCCCCCAATACATACAAACAGATCTCCATGGCAGTGAGGGAGGTGGCCTCTTCCCTCCCACTGCCCTGCTCCTTTGGCAGAGTGGGTGCCCCTGCAAGGAAGCATGCACACAAATGCCGAAGGCTGAAGTCAGTGTCCAGGTACGGGGCTTCAGTGCACGGCTGCTCTGATGACTGGAGATTGCCCCCGTCTGTGTGCCTGGTTTTTTCTCTAACAAAGGGAAGCAACATGCAACACCAGTGGAAGATCAATTTCAAATTCAAAATTGTGATTATAAATTGCTGTCCAGTTGCAGCCGACTTATGGTGAGCCCTGCAAGAGACTTCCGAGGCCAGTGAGAAGCAGAGGTGGTCTGCTGTCGCCGTCCTCTGCAGAGTCGTCTCCCTTCCAAGGACTGACCATGCTAAGCTCCCAAGATTGGATGAGATCTTGCTACCTCATGCTGTTTTCCCTCCCTCAAAATTAATTAGCAGCTGTTTATTGTTGGAAGGCTGTAACATCCACCAGGATTGGAAAAAAGGGAGTTTGAAGAAGCAATTAGCAAACTTAATCTGCAGAGGAGGAACACGCAGCACAAACACACATCCCCACACAACAGTTGGCAAAGAAAACTCACCACATTCCCCTTGGGGCCTGTTTGTCCATCCATGCCAGCTATGCCCTGTGTGAGGTGTTAAAAGGAGAAGAAAACAACATGAGATTTGACCTGCTCACTCTCTGAAAAGAAGGCGCCCTGCCTTTCCCCAGTCCCAGCCCATTACCTCACTGGCTCGAGCCACAGGAGACGTGCCAGCATGCCACAGGGAACAAACAAACGACATGGTCAAAGGCTCCCGTGAGCCTGTGTTATTCATCCACAAAGGAGGCTGCCTACTGCATCTCTGCATGAGTCACTGCTCTGGGGCTTGTCTCCCTGTAAGCCCAGTAGGGACTGAAGCACCAGCCAAGAGGAGTGCTCAACCTCCAGCCTGGTCCGTTTCTGAAGCTGTCTATCCCGGGGGTTCCCAACATGGTGCCTGTGAGTGCCTGGGCACCCACAGACACCTTCCCTGGTGCCCACCAAGAGTTCTTAGAAAGTGGGTGGGGCTCTTGCCCAGCAGGGCTTCTCATTGGCTCCTGGAGATTAAAATGACATTGTTTCAGTGGCAGCTGCCACCCCGGGCTGGTTTGATTCTCATTCTTCTGTCCTACTGTATTTTTTAAAAATCACCCCTCTTCTCCCCCGTGTCTGGGCTCCCCCCCGTGTAGCTGGCTCTGTCTCCTGTAGAATCCATCTTATGGTTGTGCCCATCACCCTGTTTCAGAAATTCAAAGGTGCCCACAGACTCAAAAGGGTTGGGGGACCCCGATCTCTCTCTTCTGGGAGCTCCTTATCTGAGGAAGCCTGCTGATTCAACGGGAGCCCAGCAGGGGGAGCTGCTGTGTTTTAAATCTTTGTAGACTACCTGGTGGCTTTTAGGTGCTTTATAAGCCACCAGAGGTAGGTGAGGGAGAAGAGATTTTACTTTTATCAGGCACAAGCCCTGCTTTGTAAGGGTGTGGCTAGGCTGAATGCAGAGAGAAGGGGCAACTAGGATAGCAGCTCCCCAAAAACAAGCCCAGTCCTTACTGTACCCAGTTAACTTATTGAGAACCACGGCCTTATCAGATAGCCACCGTTCCTATCTGCATAGCTTAGAGAACTGTGGACTGTGCTTCAAACAGGATACTGTACGAAGTGAGCCAAGCTGGCAAGGGTGCTGTGTTCTCCGTGGCCCTTTAACTGCCATGGCTCCTATCTCCCTCACCTACAAAGAATCCCGGGAACTGTAGTTTGATGAGGGTGCTGACAGTCCTGGGCTAGCAACCCCAAGCCTCGACCTCCTTATAGAACTCAAATTCCCAGAATCCCTTGGAATGAGCTGCCCGCATCATGCTACTTACTGGAGGTCCAGGGGGTCCCGGAGGCCCTTTGGGTCCCAGCAATCCACGGGGTCCCTGTTGTGGAAAACAAGCCCAGGTTGTAGAGGCCATTTGTAGGATGTCGGAGTTTACTCTAAGTACCACTGGAAATCTTTGAAAAGGAGAACTCAGAATGACAGGTGTGATCTTCCATACCCACTCTTGGCCCTAAAAAGCCGCCTCCCGGCAGGAGAGTTTTAACAGGCGGTGGGGGTGCCAACACCAGGAGCCCTGGAGCTGACTAGCCTTCTGGCCGGGACTCCTTGGAGGAGGGCTGGTCCACAGAGCCAGCGCAGGAGCCCAGGACCGCACAGCCCCCTCGGCCGGGAGGACGGGCTCCTGGGCTCCTTGCAGGGCCATCTCCCTGAGTCCGGCAAGCTCAGCACTTTCCAGACTCGGGAAGAAAGAGGCGGTGGTGGCCAGGGAGATGCAGGGCTTTTGGCAGGGGCCGGGTCCAGTTTGCCCCCAAGGGCCGGCTCATGCTTTCGGCGAATGCCTAGTCCGCCTAGCGGGTGAGCCGGCCCTGTGTGTGAGGCCAGTTCGGGGTTCGGTCTGTGGGCTGTCGTTGAGCCCAAACCACCTTTTTTTGGTTTGTTCCCATCCCTAACTGGGATGCTGTATACCAAAGGGGCTGAATGATCATTATTGCTACTATTATTGATGAATAGTATCATTTAGACAGCTCCAAATTCTAAAATGGCTCCCGAATGCTTCAAGAAATATTAGAAACGCTTATGTCTGTTTGAAGATGTCAGCACAATGTGCAGTCCATATCTCTTGAGACCACCATTTTTTGCAACAGCCATTCCTGGCTTAATGTTGCCAGCAAAAGGTTAAGGTCTGGATAACCTTAGAGCTGCTTTGCTGAGTAAGCGGCTGCTGGGGCACGCCAGTGTGCCACAGATGTCTTCCACGGTAAAGCGAGACAGGAAGATGTGTGCCTCCCTCGAAATGCTGGGGCAGTGGGGGCCTGCAATGTCGGAAGGTGATCTTGCATGATAAACAGTTCCATGGGCTATATTTGCATCCACCATCTGGATAACTCTCCTATGCAAGGCCCATTTGGGAACGGTAAACAAAGTGCAAACGCGACTGGCTGATGACGTGGCTCTCCTTGCAAAAGTGGAATTGGCCACACATTACAAAACAAATACATACCAGGAAGGATCAGTTCCCAGTCCTCGGGAAACTGAGTGGTCACTATGAAAGCCCTTTTGGCAATCATTCATCCTTCGGCCTGCATGCCTTCTCTACCCCTCCTCCTCCCATCCTGGGGCTGTGTGGTCCCCGGACTGACACACAACCTGCCCGTCTCCTGGCTGGGACTCACAACAGACAAGGGGGGGGGGGGTCGGGGACAGCAAGTGGAACTTCTTTTTAAATACTCCCCCACATTTTTCCTCTCTTCTCCATTCATTTGCTCCCCCAGGAGTGCACAAAACTGAGTCACACTTTTGTATATCAAGCGTCGCTTCCAATTCTTCCCCTACAAATGCACAATCTCACCCCCCCCCAATACATACAAACAGATCTCCATGGCAGTGAGGGAGGTGGCCTCTTCCCTCCCACTGCCCTGCTCCTTTGGCAGAGTGGGTGCCCCTGCAAGGAAGCGTGCACACAAATGCCGAAGGCTGAAGTCAGTGTCCAGGTACGGGGCTTCAGTGCACGGCTGCTCTGATGACTGGAGATTGCCCCCGTCTGTGTGCCTGGTTTTTTCTCTAACAAAGGGAAGCAACATGCAACACCAGTGGAAGATCAATTTCAAATTCAAAATTGTGATTATAAATTGCTGTCCAGTTGCAGCCGACTTATGGTGAGCCCTGCAAGAGACTTCCGAGGCCAGTGAGAAGCAGAGGTGGTCTGCTGTCGCCGTCCTCTGCAGAGTCGTCTCCCTTCCAAGGACTGACCATGCTAAGCTCCCAAGATTGGATGAGATCTTGCTACCTCATGCTGTTTTCCCTCCCTCAAAATTAATTAGCAGCTGTTTATTGTTGGAAGGCTGTAACATCCACCAGGATTGGAAAAAAGGGAGTTTGAAGAAGCAATTAGCAAACTTAATCTGCAGAGGAGGAACACGCAGCACAAACACACATCCCCACACAACAGTTGGCAAAGAAAACTCACCACATTCCCCTTGGGGCCTGTTTGTCCATCCATGCCAGCTATGCCCTGTGTGAGGTGTTAAAAGGAGAAGAAAACAACATGAGATTTGACCTGCTCACTCTCTGAAAAGAAGGCGCCCTGCCTTTCCCCAGTCCCAGCCCATTACCTCACTGGCTCGAGCCACAGGAGACGTGCCAGCATGCCACAGGGAACAAACAAACGACATGGTCAAAGGCTCCCGTGAGCCTGTGTTATTCATCCACAAAGGAGGCTGCCTACTGCATCTCTGCATGAGTCACTGCTCTGGGGCTTGTCTCCCTGTAAGCCCAGTAGGGACTGAAGCACCAGCCAAGAGGAGTGCTCAACCTCCAGCCTGGTCCGTTTCTGAAGCTGTCTATCCCGGGGGTTCCCAACATGGTGCCTGTGAGTGCCTGGGCACCCACAGACACCTTCCCTGGTGCCCACCAAGAGTTCTTAGAAAGTGGGCGGGGCTCTTGCCCAGCAGGGCTTCTCATTGGCTCCTGGAGATTAAAATGACATTGTTTCAGTGGCAGCTGCCACCCCGGGCTGGTTTGATTCTCATTCTTCTGTCCTACTGTATTTTTTAAAAATCACCCCTCTTCTCCCCCGTGTCTGGGCTCCCCCCCGTGTAGCTGGCTCTGTCTCCTGTAGAATCCATCTTATGGTTGTGCCCATCACCCTGTTTCAGAAATTCAAAGGTGCCCACAGACTCAAAAGGGTTGGGGGACCCCGATCTCTCTCTTCTGGGAGCTCCTTATCTGAGGAAGCCTGCTGATTCAACGGGAGCCCAGCAGGGGGAGCTGCTGTGTTTTAAATCTTTGTAGACTACCTGGTGGCTTTTAGGTGCTTTATAAGCCACCAGAGGTAGGTGAGGGAGAAGAGATTTTACTTTTATCAGGCACAAGCCCTGCTTTGTAAGGGTGTGGCTCGGCTGAATGCAGAGAGAAGGGGCAACTAGGATAGCAGCTCCCCAAAAACAAGCCCAGTCCTTACTGTACCCAGTTAACTTATTGAGAACCACGGCCTTATCAGATAGCCACCGTTCCTATCTGCATAGCTTAGAGAACTGTGGACTGTGCTTCAAACAGGATACTGTACGAAGTGAGCCAAGCTGGCAAGGGTGCTGTGTTCTCCGTGGCCCTTTAACTGCCATGGCTCCTATCTCCCTCACCTACAAAGAATCCCGGGAACTGTAGTTTGATGAGGGTGCTGACAGTCCTGGGCTAGCAACCCCAAGCCTCGACCTCCTTATAGAACTCAAATTCCCAGAATCCCTTGGAATGAGCTGCCCGCATCATGCTACTTACTGGAGGTCCAGGGGGTCCCGGAGGCCCTTTGGGTCCCAGCAATCCACGGGGTCCCTGTTGTGGAAAACAAGCCCAGGTTGTAGAGGCCATTTGTAGGATGTCGGAGTTTACTCTAAGTACCACTGGAAATCTTTGAAAAGGAGAACTCAGAATGACAGGTGTGATCTTCCATACCCACTCTTGGCCCTAAAAAGCCGCCTCCCGGCAGGAGAGTTTTAACAGGCGGTGGGGGTGCCAACACCAGGAGCCCTGGAGCTGACTAGCCTTCTGGCCAGGACTCCTTGGAGGAGGGCTGGGCCACAGAGCCAGCGCGGGAGCCCAGGACCGCACAGCACCCTCGACCGGGAGGACGGGCTCCTGGGCTCCTTGCAGGGCCTTCGTGGACTCACCTCCGGGCACGGATGTTTGACCACGTGGGGCAAGGCTGTGCAGCACCACACTGGCCCTGTGGGCAATGGCAGGCGAGAATCTCACGGAGAAAGAGATGAAGGGACCAGAGGAAGTCTCCGTAAGCCAGCAGTGCTGCCACTAACACTGTGGGGGCTCTTCCTTACGTGGAACCTCCTTTTATGCCTGAGTAAACCCACCAACTGGCTAAAGAGGTTTTAGGAACACCAGTGCCCCCTGGCAGCTGTGAGTCCCGCCTGGCCTCTGAACCCCACCCTGTCACAGTGCTGCGGCCACTGGCTGCCCTCACAGGGCTCTCATGGGGCTCTCACGGGGCTCTCACAGGGCTGGGAAGCAGAGCTCCTCCTCCCTGGAGGCTGGGAAGCGGCTGCCTGAGGTGTCCCCCCCCCCCCCCGCCCCCCCCCCGGTGCCCTCCCACGCGGGGGTGG